CAGAGAAGGATCAAAATTCTTTGACAAGAGAAGCACACAAGTAGGAGGAGCAAGCTCATGAACTTTGATTGGTTGCATTTGATATATGCATAGTCATGTGCTTGCTTGCATTGCATAAGTTTTTAAAATTTCATATGCATGCCTGTGTAGTGTATGCTAGTTGTAAAACTTGATTGATGATTTGATAACTAGCATGCATAGGATGGTAGCTAGACTTGTATTTCTTCACGTGGTACTAGAACCTTGCTTATAATGTTGATCTCACGGAGTTTCTAGTATTTTTGTTGTCTAGCTACTCATGGTGCTAAGGATGGTGTTAAAAGTGCAACTCCGATTGGTATCACGCTTCAAAGGTTATTCTATACACCATAGCATCACTTAGTAGTGGTAACACTCCCACAAATTTCATTTTTATGCATGTGTGCAAGCTTGAAACCAAACCATTTGAGCACACATGTAGGAGGAGTTATCACTACCAAGTTGGGTTTTATGGTGCTTATCCAAATCTTGAGATAGAGCTTAAATGTTGGATAAGTAGCATAAAATCCAAATCAAGTTAGCAATTTACACTTGTGTGAAGAGCTAGCTTGAAATGAGCTTAATTTCCATATCTTTGTAGAGTTGTCATCAATTACCAAAAAGGAGGAGATTGAAAGGTCCTTGTTTGGTTTTGGGAATTGAGTGACAACCTATGTGGACAAATATGTGTTTTGAGTGAGATACACAGGTAATTAGTCCATAAGTACATGTGTATGAGCAACATATACCATGATGGTGAAGATGGCTCAGAGTTGTTGCAAAGCTTACACATGTGATGATGAAGGAGCTCATTGCAATGAGACATGACATTGAGTCATGTGATCAAGGTGGAGAAGATCAAGACAAGGCTTGGCTTGATGGACTGGTTGCAAGCGTGAAGGGCAAGTTGGAGGCTTTGGAGCGATGGACCGCGTGGCGGTGAAGCTTGAGCAAGACTTGGCACCGATGGATGAAGGCAACGGTGAAAGGCAAGTGAAGTCAAGATCGATGAACCAATACGGTCACGTGATGATATAAAGTGGATCATATCATTTGGTGATTGGTTGGTGCATGTGTTGCATCAACAATGGAGGAGATAGAATGGAATACGCAGGGCAAAGGTATAACCTAGGGTATTTTATTTCACCGGTCATACGTTGTGTAGACAAGTGCATGACTGGGTTTAGGATAGATGACGGTATTATCAAGAGGGGCAAACTTGTTTGCATATCGGTCATCTAGTGCCATTCGAGTGATCTAACTTTGCATCGTTGCTAGGATCGAGTGGCGCGGCAAGTTGAGTGGCTAACTCCTTAAAAATGATTGTGAAAAGCTAACACATGTGCACAAGGTGTTGGCACATTTGCAAAGGAGAAGAAGTTGGAGTTAAAGTGGATCAACTCAGCGAAGAAACGGAGGCGAAAAGTGGTCACTAGAGGTGACCGGACGCTGGCTCCGAAGGGACCTGCGCGTCCGGTCATGCTCTGCAGTGAAGGCGCAGGCGTCGGTCTTCGACCGGACGCTGGCGTTGAACTGACGTACGCTGACGTCTTGGCGCGAGGAGCAGCTGTGACAAATGGGAGACGAAGAAGGACCGAACGCAGGTGCTGGGTCAGGTTAGGTTGGACCTGATGCGTTCGGTCATTGTTTGGTCCTCTCTGGACCTTTCTGGAAATGATCGGACGCTGGCCAGCTGCGCGTCCGGTCATCGATTCGGTGGCGAGCGCGTGCACGCGATCAGACACGGTGTGGCAGCGTCAGGTCGGGGCTCGGTGTGTCCAGTCATCACTTAATCATTGGCGCGCAGCTGCTGACCATTGGGATCGAACGCACGACGTTGAACGCGGGCGCCACATGGACGGCCAGGAGTGACCGGACGTAGGGCCTGGCGCGTCCGGTCGCTGCGAATTGTGCCCAGTGAAGGGGTACAACGGCTCTTTTCTCTTTGGGGCTATAAAACCAAGTGTTGGCCGGCTTTGGCCAGCAGCTGAGCACCCTTGGTGGCTTGTGTAGGTGTGCTTGGGAGCCCTCTAACTCACTTGAGCTTGGTAGTGTTCATCCGATCGAGTGAGTGAACAATTCTAGTGCGATTGCATCGTGAGGTTGCATCGAGTGGCACTAGGTGATCGAGTTACAAGCCGATGGTGCTTGTTACTCTTGGAGGTTGCCACCTCCTAGATGGATTGGTGGTGGTCTCCATTGAAGCACGCAAAGAAGATTGTGCGGTGCTCCGGAGAAGTAATTGTGAGGGGGATTGTGCTCACCCCACAGGAGCCGTGAAGAGCAACTCTAGTAGAGTGAGACGCGAAGGGCGACAAGTGGTCCGACCGGGTTAAGTGCTAGAGCTTGTGGTAAGCAATCCACCTGGGAGAGTGTGACTTGCGGGTCACCACTAGCAAAAGGACCGGCGGCAACCTTGGAGCTTGTCTCAATGAGGACTAGCGTGTTGGCAAGTACGTGAACCTCGTGATAAAAATCATCGTGTCATCCTTGTATTCCCGTTGGTTTGCATCCTTGTTACACAAGCTTTTATTTACTTCATTTACATTGTGCTTGTGTAGTTGCTCTTGTAATTCGTTAGCTTGTGTAGCTTGCTGGTTACCTTCTAGCTTGTGTAGCATAGAAGTAGCTCCCTTGCGTGACTAATTCGGTTTGAGTAACCTTGTTAGTCTTTATTAGTCACATTACTTAGTTTGTGTAGCTAAGTAATTTGCGCTCTATAATTCGTCTTGTGTAGCCTTGTTATTGAGCATTACAAGTGAGCTTAGGTGGCTTTGTGCTTTTGCTTACTAGCATGTGTAGAAGCTCCCCCCGTTGCTTGAAGTACTAGTGGCATAGGTTTGTGTGACCTTACTTCTAGAATTGGTTAGGTGAGCTTTAGCTAGCCTGGCACCTTTGTTGCCTAATTAGGATCTTTATAAGGTGCTTGTGAACTTAGATAGAGCGGTGTAGTCTTAGCTAGACCGATAGTTTTAATTCCGCATTTGTTTCGGTAAGCTGGCGCGATTAATTTTAGAAAGGACTATTCACCCCCCTCTAGTCCGCCATCTCGACCATACAGCCGGCCGTGCCGCGCGCCCGTCATAGACACCTATGTCGCTTGCTCCCTCGTCGTTCGTCCATCCTTCTCCCATCACCGTCGCGCACGCCGCTGACCCTGCCATGGCCGCTGGGGCGCATGTGCCATGGCGCCTCAGGTCTTCCCCGGCCAAGCCAAGGGCACCCATGAGTGCGGGCGGTGCTGGTGGTGCTCGCGCGTTGTGGCTTGCCGCGGGCTCCGACCCCGATGGCCGAAATCGACCGGCCCGGCCTTCCCCTCCTTTATATTGCATATGTATGTTTCAAGCGTTTCAGGCGTTTAGATGTATATTGTAATTGTTTCATCTTAGTGCCGTAAAAGTAGGTCGAGGGATGTTGCACATGTTGCATATGTTGCAAGTGTTTCAAAGGCATTTTGCAAGCGTTTGTTTAAAATGTTTCATCTATTTCCACATGTATGTTGCAATCGTTTTTGATCTGGATGTTGCATATGTTGTAACAGTATGTTCCAAATGTTTCAGTCTTATGTTGCAGCAAGTGGTTTTATATTGCAAGTTGCAAGTGTTTTTTTTTATGTTTCATGTGCTTCACACACATGTTGCAAGAGCATGTTTCGAATGTTTCATCTATTTTTAATCTTATGTTGCATTCATGTTGCAAGTGTTTCATGTTGTTTGGCTGGGGGGCGAGCTGGGGGCCGACGGACGAGGCACGCGGCGTGCCAGGGGCCGAAGGATGGGGGCTCTAGGGGTGGGTAGATGGAGGTGCTCGGGCCCGACGGACGGTGGTGCTGCAGGTCAAGGGTGCGCTGGGGGCGTGCTTGTCCTCAGCCGCTCATCCCGGCTTCCTTGTGTCGCCCGCATTGAGATTTGGAGAGAGGGGAGGGGGTCAGGGGAAATACTGGTAGGCGCAGAGACGTGAGCAGAGCGCACTCGTGGGCAGGACGAAGGTGGCCAGGAGCAAGGCAAAGGCAGACGGGGGCGGGCTGCTCGCACGTATATCCGGTCGTCCGGGCGCTAGCCACGGCGAAAGAGAAACCAGTGTGTGACACTATGGGTCTGTTTGGTTCCTTAGACCGAATTTTAGTCCCTGTCCCATCGGATGTTTGGGTACATGCATGGAGTATTAAATATAGACTAAAAAAAACTAATTACACAGATTGCGACTAATTTGGGAGACGATTTTTTAAGCCTAATTAGTTCATGATTTGACAACGTGATGCTACAGTAAATATATGCTAATGTCGGGTTAATTAGGCTTAATAAATTCGTCTCGTAAATTAGTCTCCACCTGTGTAATTAGTTTTATAATTAACTCATGTTTAGTCCATCTAATTAGCATCCGAACGTTTGATGTGACATGAACTAAAATTTAGTCCGTGGAAACAAACACCCCTTGTGCGGCCCTGCGATGCTAGGCTGGTTGATGCGTCTGGCGGGCTAGCGCGCCAGCTAGCATGGGTTTGACTGCCACGCTGGCAGTAGGCAGGGTGCACCACCTGCCCTTGTATAGGTTAATCTATTTACCACCTAAAAAACAGGAGGCACTTTCGTCCAACAATGTTTGGTGTGCGCGCCGTAAAAAAAAATCCGATTGCAGCTAGGAACCGCAGGCCTCACCTTCCTCTGTAAATTCTGAGTGCATCCAGAGCCTCCGTCAAAGCTTGAACAATTTCCACCGTGCCTGCCGGGGTGCTCGGTCACGGTCAGACATCGTGCGGCGCTCCTGACGCCGTCGCCACTGCGGCCGAACGGTCCTGTCACCAGCACCCAGCCCTCGATCATCTCCCGAGCCGCGCGGCCGTTGTCCGCCGGCACCAGGTGTCCGGCGCCGTACACCACCACGTGCGAGAGCGAGACCGACCGCTGCACGTAGCACGCGAGCTCGCCGCCCTCGGTCCGCCACACGAAGCGCTGGGCGTACTGGAACGCGCGCAGGCCGTCCTAGCGCACCCCGGCGAGCCACGCCTCAGTGGACACGACGCCGTCCCGGAGGTCGCGGACGCCCTGGTACAGCAGCATGCGGGTGCGCCGCAGCAGCGACTCCGCCTGCGGCACAACGCTGCGCATCACGTCGCCGTGCATCGCCGTGCCCACCGCGTCGCTGCACTCCTCCCACGCCACGTACCCGCGCGCGCCCAGCGCGGACTTGGCCTCGGCGCGATTCAGGAACGTGCCCACGGCGTCCGTCGCGTAGTCCCGATGGTTCGCGTAGTCGTACAACGTAGTCAGCCCCGTCATGTTCTGCAGCCACGACAGCACCAGACGCGCGTCCGCCGCCGCGACCCACTGCTCGGCCAGCGTCAGCGACACCGCCTCGGACTGCAGCGCCTCCTGCAGCTCCCGCTTCTGCCTCGCGTTCACGAGGCCCAGGAAGTAGGCCGAGTCAGCGTGCGTGACCACCTGCGCGACCGGGTGCGTGAGCCCGTTGCCGATGGCCACGCCGCGGAGGTTCACGCGCTGCACCTCCGGCAGCGCCCGGTTCGCGTCCAGGATGTGCGCCCACGCCGCGGGGATGTACTTGCCCGCGTAGCTCTTGCTGGTGAGGAAGAAGGGCCGCGCGCGGAAGGTCAGGTCGTCGAGGGCGTAGAAGGACTGCAGCGCAGCGAGGATGTGCGCGGCAATGACGGACTGGTTCGTGGAGATGTCGGCCGGTAGCAGTGCCGCGCTGAAGCCGGTGCTGAGCGGGTTGTCGATGAAGAGGAGACCGAAGCGGCGGTTCCACGAGAAGGGGTTGCGCGAGAGGGTCTCGCCGTCAGGTCGGGCCCACCTTCCACCGTAAATTCGGAGTGCACCCGGAAACCGCAAGCCCCACCTTCCCATGTTTCCTAACAAAAACACTTTACCTATCAAAAAAGAAAAGAAAAAAACACTTGCCGCACGCTTGCTTTCCATTTGTTCCTACGAAAAACTTTCCAAACCAAGTCTGATACGACTACTGTGATCCCAGTATGCTTAGTAACTAAACTCGGTAAAAAAAACGAAACAAAACAGACGTGCGACCGTCGCCAGGAAATAACAGCGCATCAGCCTGCAGGAGACGGCGGCAGGAAACGACGACCAGCTACGGGACGCACGGGCATTATCATGATATTATATTTTATATCCGTTCAACACACGGATATTTATTTAGTAATATTAAAATAATGTTAAAAATATTATAAAAATTAAAAATTCCACCACTGCAGGCCGTAATGCATCTTTGAATTGGGCCGGGTTTGGAACACATCCAGCCTGACTCACGCCAATCCACGTCGGAGAGGAGCGACTTATTTTGGCTACGGTTCATTTGTACGATTGAGTCTGTGTTTAGTTGAGTGAAATTTGGGAATTTGGCTATTGCAGCACTTTTGTTTTTATTTTGCAATTAGTGTTCAATCATGGACTAATTAGGCTTAAAACGTTCGTCTCGCGATTTCTAACCAAACTGTGCAATTAGTTTTTTTTCATCTACATTTAATGCTCCATGCACGTATCGTAAGATTCGATGTGATGGCTACTGTAGCACTTTTTGAGAATTTGGTTTTGAAACTAAACGTGGCCTGATTTTGTGGCTGATTCTGGCTGGCTGATAAGCTAAACAGAGCGCGCAACCGCGTTGTGCAGAGAGCGACGCCGGCGCCGACGCCAAGGACACCGCCGGCGCTCCCGCAACCGACGACACGACGCCACCTCTCCCGCCGGTTCTAGGTGCGCAGCCCCGTATTCCGGCGTCATCCCCTCCTCCTTGCCCTTCTTCTCCCCATCCGTTTTCCTTCTTAGGGTTGGAGAGCCACGTCGGCGCCTGCTACTGCCGGCATCGAGTCAGACGGCAAGCGGTTCAAGGTTCTTCGAGGTGTCTATCTCCTCCGATTCATCCCCTTCTTCATTCTCCTCTCCGTGCTATGTTTGAACTTTGAAGCCCTCGTTCTTGTGTTAGATCCGTGAGGCTCAGTCTTCTCCAAGATCCGCAGCAGGCCGCATCATCTCGACTACGGCACCGTCTTCTCCAGATTTGGCCCGGTCTCCCTCTTCCTCTGCACTCTCTTGCTGTTGTATGGCCAAATCGTTCAGTGCCGTTGCTCAATGAATGTATCGCTTCGATTTGGTGCTAGCTAGTAGCCTTTGCAATTGGTGCATACTTCTGTTTGTATGTTAGGCTCCTGAGGCAATTGGTGCTAGGCTAGAATGTGGGCGACTGAGGCCATGAATTCATACTGATATTTATGCTTGTGTATGGCCCTATGTAATATGTATTTGCATGTGCGTGTCGATGATCAAATTAAATGGCAAAGACGTGTACCACTGTTATTACCGGTCAATCACCCATGCCACTTGAGCTTGAGGGTAACAATTTAGCTAGTCTGCTATTTTTGCATGGCGATATTTGATTTCACCTAACCATACTTACCGCTCTTAAGAGGCAAAATATTCTTTCTGACTGTAGGAATAGTGATAGCCTCCCAGTCCTTTAATGAAACAGGTTATTACTGTTTTTTAGTAATAAGGTCTAAAGTCTCTAGCATGTTTTATTATATTTGCGTAATTTCCTTCCGCTAGGCATTGATTTACTTCTTGCAAGATGAGTTGGGAGGAAAATCAAATCAGTTTTGCTTGCTGAAAACATTTTTTTGGCCTCTTCTGCATAGATTTTGGCTGACTGACCAATATTCCATACTTAACATGCTATATTCTCTTTGAAGGTTCAGTTTCTCAACTCTTTTCGAACTTCAGTCACCCAAGCCACTTGAGGTTGAGGGTAACAATTTAGCTAGCCTGCTATTTTTGCATGGCAATATTTGATTTCACCTAACCATACTTACTGCTCTTAAGCTCAAATGGATGGGCTTTCCTGCCGCCATATTTACCATCGGCATGTGATCCGTGACTGGAATATTCTTTCTGATTTTAGGAATAGTGATAACTCCCTAGTCCTGTAATGAAACAGATTATTACTGTTTTTTAGTAAGGTCTAAGTCTCTAACATGTTTTTTGGCTGTCTGACCAATATCCCATACTTAACATGCTATATTCTCTTTGAAGGTTCAATTTCTCAACTCTTTTCGAACTTTGAAATGCAGCTCATCACATTTATGCATAAAAATCAAGATGAAAACTTCTCAAGAAAGCTCAAAAGAGTCATTTCTGTATCTTGATTTTTTTGCAAGATATGCAACTCTGAATGGTTTAGCTCGGCCACCTCATAGCCTTCCCAATCAGGTATGAACAGTTTGACTGACCAATTATGTCCTACAACGTCTATTCTCTTTTATTTAGATTGGCTAAGTTGGCTTAGAATATCAGACACAAGGCACTAGCCATGTGTATCGATGCCTTAGGCTCACTGCATCTTTATCTTTATCTTCTTTTAGAAAGTGCAAGCAGATACATAGGCTCTGGACATGAACAAGTTACTCTCATGCAGTAGTGCAGTACCCTTAGCTTGTCATGCCTATGCTTTTGCCCTGATATAATAATACAATCCAGAAATAAATTTCATCAGTGAAGTATACTAGGCACTGTGAATTTGCCATGCTTGAATTCATTTATGTTTCGTGAGATATTGTCAGGCTAGATGGGTCTAAGGAGTAAGAACTTGACAGACATAAGCTAGGAGCATAGTCTTTAACGGTAAGCATGCTAAGATGTTCTGACTGAGGCAAAGCTAGAATTGCGTTCTTTACAGCATGGAGGGAGTATACACTTTGTTCAATTGTGCGTGAGAGAAAACATAGCAGCAGCCATGTGAAGAGAGCAAACCCATCTAGAGTGAAGAGAGCCGTGCAACTTGATGGGCGGCCATGATATCCATGTCTTAATCTGTCATAGAATGTGTGCAAGTAGTTATATTCTCATTCCTCTCTCCTCCCTCCCCCCTCCCCCCCCCTCTCCCCCCTCTCCCTCCATCCCTCCCTCTCTCTCTCTCTCCCCCCCCCACCCAAGGTTTTTTTTATCGGCCAAAATTCATGGAAATTTCCGAAATTTCCCTTCTATCGACAGGGTCCGATAAAATTTGACATCGGCCAAATTTTTCCCTTCTTTCCTGCTCCCACACAGACTACCCAAATTCAGCTGTGCGACGGTCCCACACTATAATGTTTTATTCTTGTTTTTATCTGTGAACAAGTGATGTTTAATAGCTTAGGAATAGTTTCAAGTCAAATTCTACGAAATTTTTTCAAAACAGTTTGAATTTTTTTTTAATTTGGTCCGATATTTCCGATATATCTTGCTTATCCTATTTATCCATGACCTCCGATAAATTTTTATTTCCCTCCCTCTCTCTCTCTGAGTGCTGCGCCGAGAGCTAGGTCAGTAGTCTCCTACTCTCCTGGCTCCTGCACGGACACCGGAGAAGCACGCAATGCTGTGCGCCTTGAATTTGTACTAGAGGCTTGCTCCATCCCAAGTGGAATGAAACGTAGGGTCCTGTGTGCTCTGGTTCTTCATGGATACTTAACATCGGGTTACTTTCCCTTGCTTGGAACAGCGGATGAATGGCACCCGCAGCGGACGAACCTGAAGAATCCAGTAGTGTTCTGCCGGCCAGTGGTTGCATGGAGCTCTTCATCGACATCGCCTCCAAGACTACTGAGAACATCCAGTAATGGCCTAAACTCTCCACTAGTCATAAACTTTGGTTGTATTTGTTTCATTATTCTAACAGTGACGTGTTTGGCAGTTGGGCCTTCAATAGATCTCTAATTGTGTTGCTTTGTTGGTTTCAGGCAGTTCTGGACTATGAGAACAGGTTAGAAACTTCTGGCAATTGGTTATTTTCCTGGTTGTGGGTTTATACTGATTACTGAGGCTAATTCTGCTAGTCTTGCTCCATTATGATATTAAACCAATTAGCCTACTTTGACAAGTTATAATGGTTAGCATGGTCATTTGCTTGAGAATAGAAGGAATCAAGGAAGAACATATTTTTCTATAATGCTGATGATTGTAATGGTTGGTTCGAAGTTGAGTTTATAGGAAGATGTTTTCTGGAACTTAGGTCTCTTGAGTTTACAGACCTACTAACTTATAGAATTTTTTTGTGTTGTTTGGTATGATAAGTTACTCCTTCACCTTCATGTTTACTTAAACTGTTGCTGGGGAGATGCAAGGGTATGGGTTTGGGTCTCTAGGATAATGTGCATAAGGGCCTGGGGCCATCCCACTGCTTTGTGACTAGCAAGAATATTTTTTTTTTCCTGTGGGTGCAATTTATTGCATTTTCAAAGCTCTAACTGCAAGCTGGTTAGTGTGACTGACACAGGAGTGTGAATTGGTCTAGGAAAGTTCTTTCTGTATTTATTAGCTGGTGGTGGTTATTGTTTGATTAGTGACTTGATGAGGATTCAAGAACAAAGTTGCTCCAACAATTATGATATTATTCTGCAGACAACAATTTGATATATGATTTCTAATGCTTAGTTTCTATGTTTATATGGTAGAAAAATGGTATCCAATGTTTACATTCTGTTTCTCTTTGGAGCTCTACGAATACTGTGGACGCTAAACCAAACACTGTAGAAATACGTAGATTACTGTACAAAGTAGCTTACTTGAAAATTTTGTGTGCACAAATACAAGGTGATTATTTAGTTAGTCATTAGTTTGTTAACATGGTTATCTAAGCGGGTTTAAGATGTACTTATCTTTAATGTGTTATTTGGGTTCAGAAAATTTGGTTTCAGGAAGAGAGATTATCATGAGCCAGTCTGGAACATAAGCTGTCTATGTGATGTGGGGGCGCCAGTACCAAAGGCGTCCCAGGGCTCAAGATGCAGTCAGAACGGTAATCCAGGAGGTGCATGCTGTAATCAATGGCAGTTAAGCTGCCAGTTAGGGGTTAA